CCACATAGCTACAGTACAGTCTACAGTACTCACCCACAGCGGGTAGACCCAGGAGGGGACCAACGTCTCTCTACATCCCCCACATAGCTACAGTACAGCCTACAGTACTCACCCACTGCGGGTAGACCCAGGGGGGAAACAGCGTCTCTCTACATCCCCCACATAGCTACAGTACAGCCTACAGTACTCACCCACTGCGGGTAGACCCAGGGGAAACAGCGTCTCTCTACATCCCCCACATAGCTACAGTACAGCCTACAGTACAGTCTACAGTACTCACCCACTGCGGGTAGACCCAGGAGGGAAACAGCGTCTCTCTACATCCCCCACATAGCTACAGTACAGCCTACAGTACTCACCCACAGCGGGTAGACCCAGGGGAAACAGCGTCTCTCTACATCCCCCACATAGCTACAGTACAGCCTACAGTACTCACCCACCCACTGCGGGGTAGACCCAGGAGGGGACCAGCGTCTCTCTACATCCCCCACATAGCTACAGTACAGCCTACAGTACTCACCCACTGCGGGTAGACCAGGAGGAAACAGCGTCTCTCTACATCCCCCACATAGCTACAGTACAGCCTACAGTACTCACCCACAGCGGGTAGACCCAGGAGGGAAACAGCGTCTCTCTACATCCCCCACATAGCTACAGTACAGCCTACAGTACTCACGGACTGCGGGTGTAGACCCAGGAGGGAAACAGCGTCTCTACATCCCCACCCAGCTACAGTACAGCCTACAGTACTCACCCACAGCGGGTAGACCCAGGGGAAACAGCGTCTCTCTACATCCCCACATAGCTACAGTACAGCCTACAGTACTCACCCACAGCGGGTAGACCCAGGGGGGGAAACAGCGTCTCTCTACATCCCCACATAGCTACAGTACAGCCTACAGTACTCACAAAGTGGGTAGCAGGGGGAAAGACCCAGGTACTCCACCAGGGAAACAGCGTCTCTCTACATCCCCACATAGCTACAGTACAGCCTACAGTACAGTCTACAGTACTCACCCACAGCGGGTAGACCCAGGAGGGAACCAGCGTCTCTACATCCCCACATAGCTACAGTACAGCCTACAGTACTACAGTACTCACCCACTGCGGGTAGACCCAGGAGGGAAACAGCGTCTCTCTACATCCCCACATAGCTACAGTACAGCCTACAGTACTCACCCACCCAGACCAACGGTAGACCCACTGCGGGTAGACCCAGGAGGAAACAGTCTCTCTACATCCCCACATAGCTACAGTACAGTCTACAGTACTCACCCACTGCGGGTAGACCCAGGAGGGGGAAACAGCGTCTCTCTACATCCCCCCACATAGCTACAGTACAGTCTACAGTACTCACCCACAGCGGGTAGACCCAGGGGCGGATCCCCCAACGTCTCTCTACATCCCCCACATAGCTACAGTACAGTCTACAGTACAGTCTACAGTACTCACCCACTGCGGGTAGACCCAGGAGGGAAACAGCGTCTCTCTACATCCCCCACATAGCTACAGTACAGCCTACAGTACAGTCTACAGTACTCACCCACTGCGGGTAGACCCAGGAGGGAAACAGCGTCTCTCTACATCCCCCACATAGCTACAGTACAGTCTACAGTACTCACCCACTGCGGGTAGACCCAGGAGGGAAACAGCGTCTCTCTACATCCCCCACATAGCTACAGTACAGTCTACAGTACTCACCCACTGCGGGTAGACCCAGGAGGGAAACAGCGTCTCTCTACATCCCCCACATAGCTACAGTACAGTCTTTACAGTACAGTCTACAGTACTCACCCACTGCGGGTAGACCCAGGAGGAAACAGCGTCTCTCTACATCCCCCACATAGCTACAGTACAGCCTACAGTACTCACCCACAGCGGGTAGACCCAGGAGGGACCAGCGTCTCTACATCCCCCACATAGCTACAGTACAGTCTACAGTGCAGTCTACAGTACTCACCCACTGCGGGTAGACCCAGGAGGGAAACAGCGTCTCTCTACATCCCCCACATAGCTACAGTACAGCCTACAGTACTCACCCACTGCGGGTAGACCCAGGAGGGAAACAGCGTCTCTCTACATCCCCCACATAGCTACAGTACAGTCTACAGTACTCACCCACTGCGGGTAGACCCAGGGGGGAACAGCGTCTCTCTACATCCCCCACATAGCTACAGTACAGCCTACAGTACTCACCCACAGCGGGTAGACCCAGGAGGGGAACAGCGTCTCTCTACATCCCCCACATAGCTACAGTACAGCCTACAGTACTCACCCACTGCGGGTAGACCCAGGAGGGAAACAGCGTCTCTCTACATCCCCCACATAGCTACAGTACAGTCTACAGTACTCACCCACAGCGGGTAGACCCAGGAGGGAAACAGCGTCTCTCTACATCCCCCACATAGCTACAGTACAGTCTACAGTACTCACCCACTGCGGGTAGACCCAGGAGGGGACCAACGTCTCTCTACATCCCCCACATAGCTACAGTACAGCCTACAGTACTCACCCACAGCGGGTAGACCCAGGAGGGAAACAGCGTCTCTCTACATCCCCCACATAGCTACAGTACAGCCTACAGTACTCATACCTCACCGACTGCGGGTAGACCCAGGAGGGAACAGCGTCTCTCTACATCCCCCACATAGCTACAGTACAGCCTACAGTACTCACCCACTGCGGGTAGACCCAGGAGGGAAACAGCGTCTCTCTACATCCCCCACATAGCTACAGTACAGCCTACAGTACTCACCCACTGCGGGTCACCCGACTACATCCCCACAGCGGGTAGACCCAGGAGGGAAACAGCGTCTCTCTACATCCCCCACATAGCTACAGTACAGTCTACAGTACTCACCCACTGCGGGTAGACCCAGGAGGGAAACAGCGTCTCTCTACATCCCCCACATAGCTACAGTACAGCCTACAGTACTCACCCACTGCGGGTAGACCCAGGAGGGAACAGCGTCTCTCTACATCCCCCACATAGCTACAGTACAGCCTACAGTACTCACCCACTGCGGGTAGACCCAGGAGGGAAACAGCGTCTCTCTACATCCCCACATAGCTACAGTACAGCTCTACAGTACAGTACTCACCCACTGCGGGTAGACCAGGGAGGAAACAGCGTCTCTACATCCCCCACATAGCTACAGTACAGCCTACAGTACTCACCCACTGCGGGTAGACCCAGGAGGGAAACAGCGTCTCTCTACATCCCCCACATAGCTACAGTACAGCCTACAGTACTCACCCACAGCGGGTAGACCCAGGAGGGGACCAACGTCTCTCTACATCCCCCACATAGCTACAGTACAGCCTACAGTACTCACCCACTGCGGGTAGACCCAGGAGGGAAACAGCGTCTCTCTACATCCCCCACATAGCTACAGTACAGCCTACAGTACTCACCCACTGCGGGTAGACCCAGGAGGGAAACAGCGTCTCTCTACATCCCCCACATAGCTACAGTACAGCCTACAGTACAGTGTACAGTACTCACCCACTGCGGGTAGACCCAGGGGGGAACAGCGTCTCTCTACATCCCCCACATAGCTACAGTACAGTCTACAGTACTCACCCACAGCGGGTGGGTAGACCCAGGGGGAAACAGCGTCTCTCTACATCCCCCACATAGCTACAGTACAGTCTACAGTACAGCCTACAGTACTCACCCACTGCGGGTAGACCCAGGAGGGGAAACAGCGTCTCTCTACATCCCCCACATAGCTACAGTACAGTCTACAGTGCAGTCTACAGTACTCACCCACTGCGGGTAGACCCAGGAGGGAAACAGCGTCTCTCTACATCCCCCACATAGCTACAGTACAGTCTACAGTACTCACCCACAGCGGGTAGACCCAGGAGGGAAACAGCGTCTCTCTACATCCCCACATAGCTATAGTTACAGTACAGCCTACAGTACTCACCCACAGCGGGTAGACCCAGGAGGAGACCAACGTCTCTCTACATCCCCCACATAGCTACAGTACAGCCTACAGTACTCACCCACTGCGGGTAGACCCAGGAGGGGGAACAGCGTCTCTACATCCCCCACATAGCTACAGTACAGTCTACAGTACTCACCCACTGCGGGTAGACCCAGGAGGGAAACAGCGTCTCTCTACATCCCCCACATAGCTACAGTACAGCCTACAGTACTCACCCACTGCGGGTAGACCCAGGAGGGAAACAGCGTCTCTCTACATCCCCCACATAGCTACAGTACAGTCTACAGTACTCACCCACAGCGGGTAGACCCAGGAGGGGACCAACGTCTCTCTACATCCCCCACATAGCTACAGTACAGCCTACAGTACTCACCCACAGCGGGTAGACCCAGGAGGGGACCAACAGTCTCTACATCCCCCACATAGCTACAGTACAGTCTACAGTACAGTCTACAGTACTCACCCACTGCGGGTAGACCCAGGAGGGAAACAGCGTCTCTCTACATCCCCCACATAGCTACAGTACAGGCTACAGTACAGTCTACAGTACTCACCCACTGCGGGTAGACCCAGGAGGGGAAACAGCGTCTCTCTACATCCCCACATAGCTACAGTACAGCCTACAGTACTCACAGTACACTCTACAGGGTAGACTCACCCACAGGGTAGACCCAGGGGAAACAGCGTCTCTACATCCCCCACATAGCTACAGTACAGCCTACAGTACTCACCCACAGCGGGTAGACCCAGGAGGGAAACAGCGTCTCTCTACATCCCCCACATAGCTACAGTACAGCCTACAGTACTCACCCACTGCGGGTAGACCCAGGAGGGAAACAGCGTCTCTCTACATCCCCCACATAGCTACAGTACAGCCTACAGTACTCACCCACTGCGGGTAGACCCAGGAGGGAAACAGCGTCTCTCTACATCCCCCACATAGCTACAGTACAGTCTACAGTACTCACCCACTGCGGGTAGACCCAGGAGGGAAACAGCGTCTCTCTACATCCCCCACATAGCTACAGTACAGTCTACAGTACTCACCCACTGCGGGTAGACCCAGGAGGGAAACAGCGCCTGCGTGTCGAGCAACACGGTGGAAGGAATCTGGAAGACAAAGTAGCAGCAGAAAACGACGTCCAGAGCCTTTCTCAGAGCCATGCTGACTGACGTATGGAGATAGCGTCCTGACACAAGGAGCGGAAGTTCGGTCAGCGGACAGCCTGGACCACCGCACAGCGCTTTTAAACGAGGATATGAAGTACTGTCGGAAATAGAAAAAAAACCACATTTATATCTACAATTTAGGTGGTTAATATCTGCAAATGTGAAATATCTGTTAAACTAAGTTCGGCCTAACTATAGTCTCAATGGTAGGGTGATTGGAAATGTGAAAAAGTGATTTTGCTGAGGAGAGATAAGTGCAGAAATGAGCAATGCGACTTATTTAGAACAGACCATGGCTTTATGGAAATTAGTGTGCTATGATATTGTATTACGGACACTTTTTAAATGCCCATTTTGAAATTGATACTTAAACTATTGCAGCTACCATGGAATCTCATTATAACTATGAAAACTGGTAGGAGGGGTCGTCTCAAAAGCAAAGCCAGGATAGGTGTCGCAGACGATGGTTGGGGTTGGGCTGGGGTATAGAGATATCGGGTAAGATAGTGAGTGAGTGAGTGAGTGAGTGAGTATGGTTTAACGCCGCTTTTAGCAATATTCCAGCAACATCACGGCGGGGGCCACCAGAAATGGGCTTCACACATTGTACCCATGTGGGGAATCGGACCCGGGTCTTCGGCGTGACGAGCCAACGCTTTAACCACTAGGCTACCCCACCACCCCTCAGGTAAGGTAACATAATCAGTAGAGACATATTCAATACATATGAAAAAGCAGAAAATATCTTTCAGATGACCCTTGTGCACATGCATTTGCCAAATGACTAGACCTAATTGGCATCTATAGTCTGATCTATTGTTTTCAGCAACTATTTGTAAGTTTTGCCCGATTTTACGAGTAAACATGCTTTTCTGGATATCCTATTACGCATCCCACTGAACGCCCAGTTATAGGCCGATGTGGGTTATTTCGACATATGCTATTTGCAGTTGTGTAAATCTTTCGGGATACAGAGTAACAGTCGAAAAACAGTTGTTGTTTTTTTATTTTCCGACAGTAATTTAGTTCCTTACTCGCGTCAGGTATCCAGTCAACATGGAAATACTGAAGGTGGGCCCAATCGCGCACCATATATGGTTTGGTAAAGTGGTAAGCCATATCTATATCCACTCATTATATGACGACTCTCCCCTATTCACAGAGGTTTTCCCTTACACGCAGAGGACTCTCCCCTATTCACAGAGGTTTTCCCTTACACGCACAGGTTTTCCCGTACACGCACAGATTTTCCCCTACTCACAGAAGTTTTTTCCCCTACACGCACAGATTTTCCCCTACTCACAGGGGTTTTCCCCTACACGCACAGATTTTGCCCTACTCACAGAGGTTTTCCCCTACACGCACAGATTTTCACCTACTCACAGAGGTTTTCCCCTACACGCACAGATTTTGCCCTACTCACAGAGGTTGTCCCCTACTCACAGACTGTCTCCTCAACACACAGACATGTTTGTGCCATCTCCCGGTACTTTAGTTTACAGATAACTACGAAGTTGCACATATCTCTTTAAGGTAGAATACGTGGAAGGAGAGTGAGTGAGTGAGTTTAGTTTTAAGCCGCGCTGAGCAATATTCCAGCTGTGGCAGCGGTCTGTAAATAATCGAGTCTGGATCAGACAATCCCGTTATCAACAGCAGATAGATAGATGGATAGATAGATAGATAGATAGATCCTTTTGGGATACGATGACATGTGTTAACCAAGTCAGCGAGCCTGACCACCCTATCCCGTTAGTTGCCTCTTACGACAAGCTTGGGTTGCTGAAGACCAATTCTATCCCAGATGTTCACGGGTGATGTGGAAGGAGAGCATGGGCTTTAGTTTACTTGCTTGTTTCCGAGGTGGGCTGAACCCATGATAATGGACGGGAAACACGCACAGAATGTGCGATAAAGCTTGAGGCGGATCACCGTGGAAACTGTGCGGTCCTGGCCGCGTGGACACCCCCCTCGAGACGAGAGTATCCCAGATGTCGGTGATTTGGGGACACATGTTGTGACCCAGGGAAGTAAAATATTCCTCCAGGCGTGAACAAAGGGCAGTGGAAACAGTATGTTTGCTGTTGTTTGTCGTCGCAATAGTCCAGCTATAAGGCTGTGGACTGTAAATATTTGACATGGTACAGACAGACCAGTGATTAATATCACGAGTATCACCCACAGTGTCTCCTGGGGTGCGATGACAATCAGCATGTCAGTCACGGACCCCTACTATCCAGCCTACTTGGTTGCCTTACAGCACAGGATGTAAGGGATTGACTCCGAACTGGGGTCGCCACTGTGGGAAATACCAGATTACGATATCAGGAATGTTTTATTTCACAATGATGCAACCAAGACATGACCCTTGTGAACAAACAATACCCTCACAAACAAACAATGCCCTCACAAACAAACAATACCCTCACAAACAAGCAATACCCTCACAAACAAACAATACCCTCACAAACAAACAATACCCTCACAAACAAACAATACCCTCACAAACAAGCAATACCCTCACAAACAAGCAATACCCTCACAAACAAACAATACCCTCACAAACAAGCAATACCCTCACAAACAAGCAATACCCTCACAAACAAACAATACCCTCACAAACAAGCAATACCCTCACAAACAAGCAATACCCTCACAAACAAGCAACACCTCCACAAACAAACAATACCCCTCACAAACAAGCAATACCCTCACAAACAAACAATACCCCTCACAAACAAACAATAACCCTCACAAACAATACCCCTCACAAACAAACAATACCCTCACAAACAAGCAATACCCTCACAAACAAACAATACCCTCACAAACAAACAATACCCTCACAAACAAACAATACCCTCACAAACAAACAAAACAAACAAAGCAATACCCTCACAAACAAACAATACCCTCACAAACAAGCAATACCCTCACAAACAAACAATACCCTCACAAACAAGCAATACCCTCACAAACAAACAATACCCTCACAAACAAACAATACCCTCACAAACAAGCAATACCCTCACAAACAAACAATACCCTCACAAACAAGCAATACCCTCACAAACAAACAATACCCTCACAAACAAACAAACACATAGAACAGACGGGAAAACAGGGTACATTTTTTTTTTTTTAATTTTCATTTTTTATTCCCACTCTACAACACATATAATAGTTATATGCATATACTCTCATACATACATACATACATACATACATACATACATACATACATACATACATACATACATACATACATACATACATACATACATACATACATACATACATATGCACATACATATATAGATAGATAGATGTACAAGTTTTTCCCCTCAACTGAAAAAGATGGGTGGATTTACAGATTGGCATTCTTAGTTCCGGCCATATGCACATAGCTACTATAGTTGTATGTATGAGAGTATACATAATTTTAGTCTCAATTGGAAAGTATAGTTTACAGATAGGTATTCTAAGTTCGTTTAAACGTGCACATAGATACACATTCATATATCAGAATGTACTTGTATTTTCTCTCACTTGGAGGGTATGTTTACAGGAAGACAGTTTAAGTTCTGTCAGTCTTACTTAAGTAATACAGTCATAAATATAAAGATGTACAGTGTTTCCTTTCACTGGAAAGGTATGACAGGTACACATTAGATATTCTGCCAGTCTTACACATAGATAGTACAGTCATAGTATAAAGATATACGTGTGTCTCTTTTCAATTGGAAGATGTAATTTACAGATAGGCATTCCGTGTACACAGACACTACAGTCACGCATATAAAGATGTGCATGTTTTCCTTCCAGTTGAAGAGTATGGGTTACAGATAAGTATTCTAAATTCCACCAACCGTGTGCATAGAAAATATAATCATGCGTTTACAGATGTACATATGTTTCCTTTCTATTAGAAGGTATAGTTTACAGATAGGTATTCTGAGTTCATCCAGTCATGTACCTAGATACAGTTATATATATAAAGATGGACATGTTTATCCTTTCTATTGGAAGATATAGTTTACTGATAGGTATCTTAGTTCACTCCGTCATATACATAGGTAATACAACCATATAGTAGCAGATGAGATGTACACAGGGTACATGCTACGTACAGATTGGGTAAACCGGGTACATACCAGGTACAGATTGGGTAAACCGGGTACATGCTACGTACAGATTGGGTAAACCGGGTACATGCTACGTACAGATTGGGTAAACCGGGTACATGCTACGTACAGATTGGGTAAACCGGGTACATGCTACGTACAGATTGGGTAAACCGGGTACATGCTACGTACAGATTGGGTAAACCGGGTACATGCTACGTACAGATTGGGTAAACCGGGTACATACCAGGTACAGACTGGGTAAACCGGGTACATGCTACGTACAGATTGGGTAAACCGGGTACATGCTACGTACAGATTGGGTAAACCGGGTACATACCAGGTACAGACTGGGTAAACCAGGCAGCTTCTACGTACAGATCAGATACCGATTGCGTACTGATCGGTAAATCGGGTACATGCAAAGTACAGTTTGGGTAAACCGGGTAGATGTCATGTGTTCTGTATGAACAGGTGGCCCTTCTGTATCAAGAAGCGGGGGTCTGTATCAAGAAGCGGGAGTCTGTACCAACAAGCAGACTCTTTGTGTGGGTCAGCCGAGTTGTGGGTAGGTACTCGCCGTTTATAGCACTATTCCAGTAATCTATAACTTCCGACATTGTTCCAATATAGAGGAACAAGATGCATTCAGCTGTTAGCTTCTTGGGGTATCATGGATTAGGGAGACGTTTGTCCAAAGAGTGCTGTTCATTCTGCCATTGTTTGGTGTCCAATGTTAATGGAAAATTCAGCTTATTGATGTTTATTTTATTTCATGAATTATTTTCACAAATCACGCTTTCTCTTTTCTCTTATACATTTCGCAAATCAAGCGTTTTCCAAGGTAGATTCAAATTTGATGCCTGCAAATCCCTCGAAACCGAAGATTGCAACAATGCAGGTGGCATCGCTTGCTGTTAAACCCTCCAGCTAATCAATCAAAGAGATGCTGCAAAATGATACCTTTAACCTGACCCGCTGCTACCTGAACAGCGTCAACCTCAACACATCAGACAACTACATACATCGGCAGTATACCTGCCACACACACCTGCCGTCGTGTAGTCAACTCATTAAGAAAGGAATGATACTTTATGACGTCTTTGTTCTATTACGGTGCGACGTTTCGGTATAGATTCTTATACCGTCGTCAAGCAAGAGCGAAGAATCATCATATAATATAGATAGTTGTTATCCATAAAGTATCATACCTTTTATATTCGTCATCAGCCAAAGTGCCAGTCAGATAGATCAATTCACGCATTGTGAGATACTCCAAACCAAATGGTTGATGATCTACTTCAAACCAACTGATCTGCTTGTGCCCACGCTGCTGATGTCAGTAACGATGAAGATGATGAAAATGTCGATGATGCTGACAGTGATAAATTACTGATAACAGCTGTGATGTTGATAATGATAACGATGTACACATCCAAACAATCATTACAGAACTATCTCAACAGTGCAAGTTCGGCCATACTTATGATTTGACTTTGTCGTTGGTTCCAATTTCTGTGGAATGTGATTGAAAATTTTCAGAAAAATATGAACAATTATCATTGTTCTGGGGAATTATCAATTCATTGAAACTGGGAGCTAGGTGCTGGGTGGTTTACAAACCATTTAACTCTTTAGTTTTTCCAGATCATCAAAATATAACATGGCACTGTAGGTCATGTGATCAGTTCCGTTGTAAAAATCATCCCTGGCATAAAAAAAACCGTGTGAATCTTTCAACTTTCATCTTCTCTTCTTGTTGGAAGCGTTGTACCCTGACGGAGCCGGCCGATAGGCGGCGCTGAACATGGTGTCAAGCATCAACAACAGTGGAACAAGGAGGTAGGGCGAGTAGATGGCGAACAACGTGCTTCTCTCCTTTAGATCTCGAGGACCCGGATGCTTTGAAGTGGAGAAGTCGTGGGTAAACACGTGATACGCAATAGCGATGACGGTGGTGGCGACGTGGGAACCGTAAACGGCGGCGGGAAGTCGCAGCCATTTGCATTTGGCAGCACCTGTGTCGATATACACAGAGATTAAAATAAACATAGAAATACATTTCAAGTTAATACACGGCCTTAAACACCGTACATAATTTATGGCTTGGGGGGTTGATGATGATTTTCATGTGAAAGCATGTACAATGTGAACGGAACCCCCCACCCCCTAAAATGTATGTACAAAGTAAGTGACCCTCCCTGCATGTCAAACATAATTCACTGATGAACTCCGATACATCCGGGGCTTCTTGGACAGCGAAACTTCTTCACTCCAGCCATAAACAATATTGTAATCCCGATGTACACACTATGGGTGATTGAAACTAGGAAGTGATTCCTTCTACCTTTGGGGGGTGGGGGGTGGGGTGTGTGTGTGTGTGTGTGTGTGTGGTGGTAGCCTAGTGGTTAAAGCGTTCGCTCGTCACGCCGAGGGCCCGGGTTCGATTCCCCACATTGGTACAGTGTTTCAAGCCCATTTCTGGTGTTCCCCACCGTGATATTGCAGGAATATTGCTAAAAGCGGCGTGAAACCTGACTCACTCACTCACTCCTTTCTACCTTTGAAGTAGGCATAGGCCGCCACGAAGAAAAACGGAAACTGGAAGATGATTTCGCAGTAGATAAAGGAGAGGAACCACTGTGGAGGCTCCACCATCATGGGGTCCCGGAACTCGCGACAGTACCAGTCCTTCAGCGCCACCACCTGCAGACAGAGTTCGGAGTTGATATGACGGGGGTAACCAACATAGAGTTATGCTAACCCACTGATCAAGACATACGGTCAGATAAAAGCGCAGTAAAATCACCTTCCATGATTGTCTCCCTTGCATCACGTACCTCCCCCTTCCCCGATATAACGCACATTTTAGCCAAACATCACAGATACGAATTAATAGTGATCGAATTAATAATGATCGAGTCTGTTCAACTCAGTTTAAATAATAGAGCGGGTTATCGTTCAACGCTTTCGCGCGAAGACGACAACTATCTTATACACATCGGCGTCGTGGGCATGCTCAAACTTGTTGTGTCGTGTGAATTTAAATCGGACGGCACGCTGCTATGACACGATTGCCACGATTGCCACAACGGCCAACAAAACGCCCATCCACCCGGATGTAAGTGAATTTTCTACGAAAGGCACAATTTAGGCTTGAGGTTGACATCCTGAAATATCGCGCGATGTTCAACCTTTCACCTTTGACCCGCGATGCAAAATATGTTTTTTTTGTGAATTACCCTCGCTGGTATACACTGAGAATGTTACCTGATCTGGAAAATACGACGACGGGAAAATAGCTTGTGAATCAATAAATATTGTTACTGGGATGTGTGAGGCGAAGTACAGGAAGAAGACAAAGTCTAACACTCGTGCCATGGTGGTGTGGGCCTCGTCCTCCCTGTCGCTGGCTAAACAAAGTGTTGAGATCGCCGTCTCGATACAAGGGAGGTAACTCCAGTGACCCACTATACGTCTGTTATGGAGAGCCTTGTCCCAGTTACACGATTTGCTTGCGAACTGCACAACATTTACACTGATGAAACTAGTTTCATTCCATGACAGATATTCACTCAGGAAAAGAGGACTAGTAAACAGTTTATTTCCGTTTCATACATGATTACACACAACAAGACGACCAGTAAACAGTGTCATTCCATGGCTTCATACGAGCAGGGGGGTGGGGTAGCCTAGAGGTTAAAGCGTTGGCTCGTCACGCTGAAGACCCGGGTTCGATTCCCCACATGGATACAATGTGTGAAGCCCATTTCTGGTGTCCGCCGCCGTGATGTTACTGGAATAATATTGCTAAAAGCGGCGTAAAACCATACTCATTCACTCATACGAGCATGTCCCATATATGAGCATCCCGGAGTTTGCCTCTCACCTGCACCCCTAAGTACCAACAATGTATCATGCAATGTTTATCATGAAGATGCTGCTTTTGTCGTGTGCGACGGACAGTTCAGTGCCACTGGACGAGGACTCGACAAGGAGAATCGGTTTTGTTTTCTGTGTAAAGTCTCTACTTGCATGAAGTTCAAGGTCCTCCATGTAGAGGAGTATGATATATATTTGGGATCTGTGCTGAAGAGGTCCAGGATGACCACCCTCCTCTTGGTTCAGTAAAAGCTTAACGGATTTAATGACACATAGAAAAGTAAGGGACTAAATGAATCACCCTGAAATATTCCTCGTCTAGTGGAAATGGGTTCTGAGGTAAGGTGCCCTTGTGAATACATCTCGTTGAAATGAACGTTTGAGTAAAGCAAGTAGTCACTCCTGGAGATCAACATCCACAGGCAAGGTACAGACTCACAAGCTTTTAACTCTTTCCATACGAAGAAAGGCCACGTACAGACTCACAAGCTTTTAACTCTTTCCATACGACGAAAGATTTCACAGCTGCACATATATCCTAAGGACGTGATATTACGTCCAGTCATCTACAACCCTTGCATACGACCAGAGTTTTCCAGCTGCAGCCTCTTAATTCGATGGACGAGATATGACGTCAGATTTTTTACAATGTTTCCACACGAGGGACGTGATAACTCGTCTACACATACTGAACATATTTCATTGTTTTCTAGCCGTCTTCCCTCGTCCTTAAAATGTAATTCTTGTACTTCGTGACAGTGTAATTTTTGGGATTTTCTTGATTATCTCCCTTGATCAAAAACACGTGCTATATGATCTTGACATTCGGTCACCATACAGCGTTAAATGGCTGGTCGTGGAAAATCTAATCTGACTGCAAGCCAAGCTCTATCTGCCATTTGTGATGATGAGAGTAGTTGTTACGACGTTTGATTGTGAGCAATGTTCTTTGACTTGTGACTGTTCTTATAGTTGTTACCACAGGTAACACTAGTTTCATCGTTCTTTGGATTTGGATGTCATGACCTTATAATTCTAAGTGATGACATAAATCTACTAAATTGTGGTTGTTCTTCCACCGTAGTGTAGTCACTGGATTCCACACTGATGTGTAAGTTCAATTATATTTCTCCGTTTAGAAAAAAAACTGCATTTCCAATGTTTCTGTGCTAAAGACGACCTAATCTTTTCTCTTTCGGTCTGAAATAGTTTGATGAAAGTCAACAAAGATGTTTGCAAAACATTTCAGTTCATATGGATTTTGATGTTATGTTAGTCATGAATGGTCCATGTCAACCGTTGTAACCATGGACACGTGATATCACGTCCCTCGTATGTAATTGTCATGTTGCTAAAAATAGTCTCATATTGAAGGGTTGTAACCCCTCAGACGTGATATCTCGCCCTTCGACTGGAAAGAGTTAACACGTTGAGAGGTGACAATGGCAACTGTTTACCTCTTCAATGTTACCGTTTTGAACCTGTCCTTTCGAGAATGACTAAGTCGTAGGTTCCTGTATCGTGATCGTGTCCTAGCATCACTACACAACTGTGCCTCCTATGTTTCTCTCGGCCCAAGTCAACCAGCTAAAAACACTTCTGTTCCGTGATGTCAAATGTAGACACATCAACCAATCCTTCATGTGGAGGAGCGTAGCCTGTATACACTGTTACCAAGGTGGAGGAGGAGCGTAGCCTGTATACACTGTTACCAAGGTGGAGGAGCGTAGCCTGTATACACTGTTACCAAGGTGGAGGAGCGTAGCCTGTATACACTGTTACCAAGGTGGAGGAGCGTAGCCTGTATACACTGTTACCAAGGTGGAGGAGCGTAGCCTGTATACACTGTTACCAAGGTGGAGCGTAGCTGTAGCCTGTTATACACTGTTACCAACACTGTTACCAAGGTGGAGGAGCGTAGCCTGTATACACTGTTACCAAGGTGGAGGAGCGTAGCCTGTATACACTGTTACCAAGGTGGACCAAGGTAGCCTGTATACACTGTTACCAAGGTGGAGCGCGTAGCCTGTATACACTGTTACCAAGGTGGAGGAGCGTAGCCTGTATACACTGTTACCAAGGTGGAGGGAGCGTAGCCTGTATACTACACTGTTACCAAGGTGGAGGGCGTAGCCTGTATACACTGTTACCAAGGTGGAGGAGCCGTAGCCTGTATACACTGTTACCAAGGTGGAGGAGCGTAGCCTGTATACACTGTTACCAAGGTGGAGGAGCCTGTATACACTGTTACCAAGGTGGAGGAGCGTAGCCTGTATACACTGTTACCAAGGTGGAGGAGCGTAGCCTGTATACACTGTTACCAAGGTGGAGGAGCGTAGCCTGTATACACTGTTACCAAGGTGGAGGAGCGTAGCCTGTATACACTGTTACCAAGGTGGAGGAGCGTAGCCTGTATACACTGTTACCAAGGTGGAGGAGCGTAGCCTGTATACTGTATACACTGTTACCAAGGTGGAGGAACGTAGCCTGTATACACTGTTACCAAGGTGGAGGAGCGTAGCCTGTATACACTGTTACCAAGGTGGAGGAGCGTAGCCTGTATACACTGTTACCAAGGTGGAGGAGCGTAGCCTGTATACACTGTTACCAAGGTGGAGGAGCGTAGCCTGTATACACTGTTACCAAGGTGGAGGAGCGTAGCCTGTATACACTGTTACCAAGGTGGAGGAGGCGTAGCCTGTATACACTGTTACCAAGGTGGAGGAGCGTAGCCTGTATACACTGTTACCACGTAGCCTGTTACCAAGGTGGAGGAGCGTAGCCTGTATACACTGTTACCAAGGTGGAGGAGCGTAGCCTGTATACACTGTTACCAAGGTGGAGGAGCGTAGCCTGTATACACCGTGGAGCGTAGCACCAAGGTGGAGGAGCGTAGCCTGTATACACTGTTACCAAGGTGGAGGAGCGTAGCCTGTATACACTGTTACCAAGGTGGAGGAGCGTAGCCTGTATACACTGTTACCAAGGTGGAGGAGCCTGTATACACCTGTATACACTGTTACCAAGGTGGAGGAGCGTAGCCTGTATACACTGTTACCAAGGTGGAGGAGCGTAGCCTGTATACACTGTTACCAAGGTGGAGGAGCGTAGCCTGTATACACTGTTACCAAGGTGGAGGAGCGTAGCCTGTATACACTGTTACCAAGGTGGAGGAGCGTAGCCTGTATACACTGTTACCAAGGTGGAGGAGCGTAGCCTGTATACACTGTTACCAAGGTGGAGGAGCGTAGCCTGTATACACTGTTACCAAGGTGGAGGAGCGTAGCCTGTATACACTGTTACCAAGGTGGAGGAGCGTAGCCTGTATACACTGTTACCAAGGTGGAGGAGCGTAGCCTGTATACACTGTTACCAAGGTGGAGGAGCGTAGCCTGTATACACTGTTACCAAGGTGGAGGAGCGTAGCCTGTATACACTGTTACCAAGGTGGAGGAGCGTAGCCTGTATACACTGTTACCAAGGTGGAGGAGCGTAGCCTGTATACACTGTTACCAAGGTGGAGGAGCGTAGCCTGTATACACTGTTACCAAGGTGGAGGAGCGTAGCCTGTATACACTGTTACCAAGGTGGAGGAGCGTAGCCTGTATACACTGTTACCAAGGTGGAGGAGCCGTAGCCTGTATACACTGTTACCAAGGTGGAGGAGCGTAGCCTGTATACACTGTTACCAAGGTGGAGGACGTAGCCTGTATACACTGTTACCAAGGTGGAGGAGCGTAGCCTGTATACACTGTTACCAAGGTGGAGGAGCGTAGCCTGTATACACTGTTACCAAGGTGGAGGAGCGTAGCCTGTATACACTGTTACCAAGGTGGAGGAGTTACCGTAGCCTGTATACACTGGACTGTTACCAAGGTGGAGGGTGGAGGAGCGTAGCCTGTATACATACACTGTTACCAAGGTGGAGGAGCGTAGCCTGTATACACTGTTACCAAGGTGGAGGAGCGTAGCCTGTATACACTGTTACCAAGGTGGAGGAGCGTAGCCTGTATACACTGTTACCAAGGTGGAGGAGCGTAGCCTGTATACACTGTTACCAAGGTGGAGGAGCGTAGCCTGTATACACTGTTACCAAGGTGGAGGAGCGTAGCCTGTATACACTGTTACCAAGGTGGAGGAGCGTAGCCTGTATACACTGTTACCAAGGTGGAGGAGCGTAGCCTGTATACACTGTTACCAAGGTGGAGGAGCGTAGCCTGTATACACTGTTACCAAGGTGGAGGAGCGTAGCCTGTAT